AGGATTTGCGAGATAAATGGAAGGTTGGAGATGGGGCGGAGGTTATCAAAGTTGTTGGGGTCAGAGCCATGTTTTTTCAGTATGGGGGTAACAGCAGCGGTTTTGAATAGTGATGGGACAATACCAGAAGAGAGTGAGGAGTGGATAATGGCAGATATGAGAGGAAGCAGGGAAGGGAGGCAGGATTTAACAAGGGATGAAGGGAGGGGATCGAGCTGGCAAGTGATGGGCTTGGATTTGAGTATGAGGTTGGATAATTCAGCAGTCGTGGGTGGAACAAAACTGGAGAAGAAATGACAAGGAGAAGGAGGTTCAGATGGGGAGGGAGCAGGCAGGTTTTGATGGAGGTGGTGATAGATCTTAACGATTTTGTGATTGAAGTACTCCATTATGGAGTTGCAGGTTGCTGTGGAGTACAGGTGGAGGGGGAGAGAATTTGGTGGCTGGAGGATTTTGTTCATGACTGAGAAGAGAGTTCTTGAATTTCCTTCGTTGGAGAGGATGAGGCCGGAGTAGTAGCTGGATTTAGTTTGTGCAATTTGGTCCTTGTCTTTAGTGATATGGGTAGTGTACATGTCCTTATGGATGGTGAGACCGGTTTTCTTATAGAGTCGCTCAAGTTGGCGGTTTTTTGATTTCATTGACCTAAGAGCGGGTGTAAACCAGGGGGCAAATGTAGAGAATGAAGCAGTCCTGGTCTTCAGGGGGGCAAGAGTGTTTAGAATATTTGTGAGGCAGGCATTGTAGTGAGCGGTGAGGTCATCCGGGTTTAAAGGAGTGTCTGGGGGCGGGGAACGGTCGATAATGGAGCAGAAGGTGTCGATGTTGATATTTTTGGTATTACGAAAAGAAATGAGGCGGGAGGTTTTGATTGTAGAGAGACGGAGTACGGTGTTAAAAGTGAGGAGGAAATGATCGGTTTCAGGAAAAACATCAGCAGTGGGCTTGGAGGGGGAGAGGCCAGAGCAGCAAACCAAGTCCAATGTGTGGCCTTTGATGTGGGTCGGGAAGTCAAAAAAAACAGTGTATCCCGAGGCTCTCCAGGCAGGATGTGAAGTCTCTGGTGAGTGGCAGGTCGGGGTTGTCCATATGGATATTGAAATCTCCCAGCAAAATTACATTTGGCGAAAGAGTGGACAAGTGTGTGAGTAAGCTGGAAAATGCATTGATAAAATCACTATGTGGCTTCGGGGGGCGATAAACTGTG